TGGCAGACTTCCAAATTCCCTCTCTTTTATTCACACGTAACACAAGAATGATTCACGAGTGGGAAAGTCAACAGGGGTACTTCCATCTCAGTCTCCTCCTCTGTCAGATATAACATCAATCTCAGAGTCGGCGTGAGGACCGAGTACCATCTGTCAGCACTCAGAACAGCAAGTGCTAAGCTATTACTGTTTTCTCATCTGACTCATCTTGGCCCACTTTCCAACAACTTGGATGTAGAAATAGGAAAGGGGGGACCCAGGTAGGGATTTCTAAGCTCCCCCCACCCAGCTCAATGCCTTCCTTAGTACCCCTGCACCTCTCTACACCCTATTTTTGAGTAGCTCTCCTTTCCTGCCACCTTTTTATCCCAGGAAGCTCCAAGCAAGGCAAAGTGTGAGTCTCACGTTTTTCTGTTCTTAAATTCTAGACCAGCATTTTTCATAAGGTGACCTGGGGGTCCAGAGTTCCCAAGGAGCTCCACAGACCACAGAGTGAGTATTGCTCTAGATCACCCTCTAGTTTGCTCTTCTCTGTTTACAATTTTTCTTTCTCTCTTTCTTTCTTTCTTTTTAGAATTTTTATTTATTCATTCATTTATTTTAATTTGAGAGAGAGACAGAAAGTGAAAAAGCAAGTCACCAGGTCTGGGACTTGAACTGTTGTCAGCCATGTGGGAGAATCCAGCTCCTTAATCACCATGCCATCTGCTAGTCCCTGTTTAGGGTTCAAGATTTGTTTCAACAAATGCTCCAAATATTTTTTTAAAATTTTTTTCCATAGAGTACATGTGCTTGTTGGAGAGAGACAGAGAAAGAGAGAGAGAGAGAGAGAGAGAGAGAAAGAGAGAAAGTAAGAATCACCCCTCAGGGGAGATGGCCGTGCTGCAATCCCTTCTCCTCCATTCTCCTTTTGGGATTTTGGTCATGCTCCTGACGTGATTTTCAAGCCACTGGGTCTTGGACTTGAACCACAGTAGCCATGTCAGAATCTATCACTTTAACCACTATACCACCTGTTGGTCCCCAGGCTCTGAAGACTTTAAAACATTGAAACTCTTTATTGTGATGTATTATTGGAACTCCCAGACTCTACACTTGTAAGTCTTAATCTTCTTTGGCCCCACTGCCAGGAAATTTTCTCCACTCCATTCAAACTGTGTTCTTTTCCATTTCTGATGCTTTGAGACAGATCCGCAAACAAGCACGTCTTTGTATACTTATCTGGGTGTCTTTCCAGGCCAGCATGTTCAGCAGACATTGTCTCCTTAATTTCCTGGCCCTTGGGGATGGTTATTACAACACCGTTGTAACAACAGAGATGTCTGACGCCCCCTCTTCCAGCTGCTGGAGAATTTCCAAACCCTGGAATCCAGGAATACCAGGGGACCATCCATCCTGATGCTCCGAGGCTGGACCCAGTTCTAGTGACTGTTAGAGGGAGGGAAGTGGAGCACAGAACCTATACAGAGACTGAGTTCCAGAAAGGGGTCCCCAGCAACCAGAGCTGGCTGGTGAAGGGAGGAGGAGTAGGGGAGGGTTGGGGAGATACTAACACTCCAAGTGGCCAACATGTAATTTTTTTTTTTTTTGAGAAGTTTTTGCTATAGGGCGCATGCACTCGCCAGAAAGACAGAGAGAGACAGAGAAACAGAAAGCGAGAAATCACCCCCCAGGGGGGATGGCCACATCGCAATCCCTTCTCCTCCATCCTCCTCTCAGGATCTTGGGCACGCACGGACACGCACCCGGAGTGAGTTTAAGCCACCAGGTCCAGGACTCAAACTGTGGTCGACTACATGGGAGTCCAGCGACATAGCCATTATGCCATCTGCTGGTCCCCCAACATGTAATATCTTTATGTAGCTTAAGACTTTTGGCCGAGAGAATAAGAACACATGAAAATCTCCAGCCTCCGCTGGGCATGTCCTCATCACAGGTTGCCAGAAGGCTCCCTTCCATACTTTGAGTCTTTGCCCCAAATGTGATCTCTTTAAATAGCCTTAAAACTGGGGTAAGAGGAACCCCAACCTTGGTCTCTGAGCATTCTCGTCCTCTTTGATGCTGCTTTCCACGTGTGAGAAGTTCATGGGCCAAAGGATCGAGCCCACCCAGAGCTCTGGCCCCACTCCTCTTCTTAGACAGAGAATTCACGCCCCAGAGCAACAGGCCATGGGTGCAGCCAGAGGCAGCCTTTTCCCTGAGGTCCATCATCTTGAGGAGCCAAGTGGTCAAAAGAGGCTTTTGGTAGCAGCTGTCAATGAAACTCAGACGTGCAGACAGGGACGTTACTGTTGTGGGCACAAGGCACTGAAGTATGGGACAGAGCTAGGGTGCAAAGAAAAAGAGGGAGGCGAAGGGCCAGAGACCAGCTACCTCTCAAACCACTGCATTCCAATGCACGTGTCAGAGGAGTCCAAGAACTCTAAACTGAATTAGGCCTTCCAGATTACTATGAAGGTTTGTGTCAAGATGACAGGATAGGAATTTTACTTAAAGGTTTGTTTATGGTTTTAAAATGTAGACGTGTGATGTAGACAGATGATATTTGGACCTCCATTTCCACAATTGATTCAGAATCTGCCAGTTGGGAATAGGCCTGACCCTGACCATCCTGTCTAAAGACAGCACCTCCTCTGTCACTCTGATCTCACCCTTTTGTATATTTCCCATAATATGTGTTACCTTCTGATCTACATTTACCTGCCTGTCACCTCTTTACTCCCACTACACCTGGGTTCCACACGCCCAGTCCCTGTTTGCTGCCTTATTCTCAGAACCTAGAACGGTGGCCAGCACCAAGACCACACTCAGTAAACGTCCAGTAGATGGATTAAGGATCTGGCTCAGAGGGCTGGTGCGTGAGGTGGGTTATCCCAGCAAAGGAAACGGTGACACAGCGACAATCTGAGAAGGGCCTTCTCAGCTTGTTCAAAACCTTGGAGCTACCCAAGGTGCCCTGGGAAAAGCCCATCTACATCTTAGTACCCATAAATACAAATTAGTTGATGAGGTTACTTGGGAGGGACTTTGAGAGAGCTTAAAGGGCACAGGCTGGAGTGAGACGAGGGGGGTCTGGGCTGCTGGGAGCACCGACTGACTGGAGAAATTGCCCTGATGAGGGTGACAGATGTGGGTGCTGAGGAAACCCCGGTTCCAAGGCGATGGCCACGCAGTCCAGGCCGGCCCTCAGAGGGTCGGGGGGGCAGAGCTTACCCGTGGATCAGAACCCTCACACTGTTTCCCTCTAGACGCTCTCAGGTCTCAGGAGGGGGTGCATCTGATCCCTGGAGGGTCGTGGGGGAGGGGGTCACAGTGCCTCACCGCCCTCACCTGCCTCTAACTCAGGTCTCACTGAGTGGTGGGAAACCCCTCATATTCTAATTTTAGAACAGCATAGATCGCGACCACCGATTCCCACCGCCCCCTCTTCCGTTAGATACGGGGGCCGCGAGAGGCCAAATGGCCTTCCCGAGTGGCCTGCAGCGACTGCAACCGGGTCCAGACCTGGGCCTCTGCTCGGCGGGCGCCCCACTCCTTTCTTTCGCGTTTGGGCCCCATGGCCTAGGGCTGCGCTCGCCGCCTCCTGGGGCCTGAGGCTGGAACCCTGCTCGCGGTGCTCGGCGAGCGCGGCGGACCGCGACGGGGACGGCGATCGCTCGGGGCCACCGGCCCACTGGAGGGGCGGGGCCGAGG